CAGCATGGCTGGAAAGCACCAGGCAAACCTCTCAGAGGGCAAGCCTGAAGGCCATCCTGGCCAAACCAGCCTCAGCAGAGTCTGGAAGATGTAACCGTTTGAGCCAATCAGTCCAAAGAGCTGCTAAGTGTTAGAGGCATTGGGTTTCACTGAAGTCCTTAAATGATGGGGCTCGGGTGAGGAAGCTCAGGCCAGGGCTGGTAACAAGCCCCAGTGCCTGGAGTATCCATGGGACTGGAAGCAGCTTTGTGAAAGGGAGAAATCCTCTTTCCAATGGAGAGGCCCAGAATCTTATTTTGTCCTTGAGGACAAAACACAAAGAGGTAACTGAGCTGTGTTCACACCTCTTCATTGCTTCATGTAGAAACAGCATTGAATAAAAGACATGAGCAGTAAAATTTAACCAGCTTCTCTGGGAAATATTTAGTGCTTCCAAGGAGTTACTATTTTTCAAAGTTAAATCTCTCATTCTGTTTCATTTTTCTTTTCAAAATTCCCAGACCAAAGGAAACTCTCTATAGATTAGCACACCCCGAAATTTTCAGTATTTCATGTTTGGAATATGAGAGGGAGAAAATCTCTCTGAAACCTAAATATTTTTCCCCTCTAAAGACCAGACCCATTTTGGGGGAAAATATGCAAAAGTGTTCTCCTTGGGCTGAATGTTGTATGCAGTTTCAGCTTAACGCACAGTTTTATGGCAGATGTGGAAAATAATCAAAATGGGGGGATATCTGGGAATACTGGCAGATCTTTACTGTGACTGCAGAGCAGATCCTGACACACTATAATACTGTTTTTGTCTTAATCGTCAAAAGTAAGCTATAGAGAACAAAAATTCTTTGTTTGACAGAAAAGCAATTGCTATTTCTTGTAAAACATATAATATATTCCAGAAGACCTAAGGGTTTACTTTTCAATAAGGATAGAAAAAGATGCGCGCCCCACTGTGAGCTCACAGTAAGGCTGTTTCATGTAAAAAGTTGGTAATTAGTCCCTGAGTGAATAAAGTAGAAGAGCTAAGAGACTGATACTTACTGTAGCAACACAAAACACTTTTTTTGAGCTGCTAGGATTTAAAGGGTGTGTGGGTGGGAGGGGGGGACCTACTCCTACTCATTTAATTTACAAGCATCTAAACTTCAGAAAATGATTCCTTGCATTAACTTAAACATGTGTACTTTAAATTGTTACTAACCGATGTAAAGATCGATAAGAGACATTCCAGTTTTTTAAAAAATAACAGGAATGAGGAATTATGTGAAAGCATAGGAGATGTCGTGCTGTACACATCAGTAGCAGATTTCACGCTCATTGTACACGACTGCCTTCAGCAGCTACACCAGCATTGCTTGGTGTCTCACCAAGTTAACTCCTTAGTAGTCAAAGGAAATACTTGTAAAAATAAATCTTTTTAGCCAGAGTTACATAATAAATACCAAGCACAAAAGCAAACTCAAACCACAGGAAAACCGTCTACTTAAACTACAAAGTTATTAATTAATCTCATTTGTATCACTACCAACCAACACTAAGTACCACCAGTGAAAACTGTACCATTTCTTGTTCTACCTGCATATCTTGAAGCAACTGGAAATAACCTAATATTCACATGTTTTCCTTTGTTATTACTCATCTTAACCAGAGCTACAGTTTATGATTCTCTCTCAAAAAAAGCCACATAATTTTTATTGCAATTGTGGGTTCAGCAAACCTATTTCTGACAATATATAAGTATCCCAGGAGAGCTTGAGAGTTTTACACAGTGCTCTCAGCACATATCCTTCAACATCTCTCTGTTCAGATTGTCTCATATGCTTTACTGCAACATTCACTGTTAATGTATGATCAGGCTGGCTCTACATCCCTGCTATTGTAATTGCAGTCCTGAAGAGATCTACACAAAAATGAATGATGTCCTAAACTGTGATTACTTGGACTGTCCCTGATTCAGTATAGAAAGTCAGGAAAATCTACTTATTTTCACTGGTTAGCTAATAACATCTTGTTCACAAGCACAGATCCTCACCACAAATAGCAAAAATTTGTTTAGAGAAAAGACATTAAAAGTATTCCCCAGGCTGAATGTGGCATAGGAGCCCAGAACTACTTTCTGGTTACTGTTAGTATCAGTTGGACTTGTTTCTACATCTTGGCTGCAGTGCTTATGTTGTCACATGTGAGCATTGAAGGAACTGTCCCCCAAGACGAGGAAAGAAAACAGCACAGACCTTCCCCTGCAGTTCTGCAATGCCCATGGGACTCCCTGAGGCCACAGAGCTGACAGGGTCCAGGAGCACCTCACACTGCACCCGTGCACTCACTGCCAAAAGCCACTGAGCCTGTGTTTTGGGGTAATACATAATACATAAAATATTATCCTCCTCTTGACTTGGAGTATGGCATCAACACAGCTAAAAACAGAATATATGTCTCTAATTCACATATTAAATTTGCTGGTTTTGTAGAAAAACATTAAAAAGTTTGCAATTCTCAGATTTTGTTTCTTCCTTATCTCTGTAAAAATTTATCTTGTGAATTCTTCAATAAATACATAACCCACTCAATAACATTTAAACAGGGGGCAAAAATAATAATGAACCTGGTTTTCCAAGAAGCCAGCACAATCTCATACACAGTACGGCTCAAAATAGAGAGCAACAGAAAGATGCCCTTTGAATTTAAAGGAGTTGAATCAGATAACAGTTTGTAAAACATCCTGACTTTTAAAATTATTTTTACAGAGGGAAAGAAGTTCCAAATACTGATTCTGAAATCATCATACATGTTACCTTGCTGTTTAATGGTTTAATCTCCAGCATAGTCCCTGTTTTCTGTGGGAATTTTTATGTTCTAGCAATTCATTCGTGATTATATTTTGCATCTGAAACAACCTATTTAAGCTAATTGTGATAGGTGATACTGTTTCTTTTTTAGCTTTATAAAAATATGCTTAGAACTCCCAATTTTTTAAACCAGGTTACATTAGCTACAAAATACCTTGGGAGTTTTCTGTAGGTACATAAAATAATAAACAGCTATATTTCGTATGAGAAAATGTCCAGTGTAGTACAGGAAAACATGATTATCCAAAGATCTCCAGAGACACTGGCAAAAAGACTTTGGATAAATGAGTTTGAATAGCTAAGGGACCAGGCATAGCAGCTTTGAAGTCTCCAGTCCTCTTCACTTGGGATAATGTAAAGTTCAGATGATTCTGTTGGACAGCCATCACAATTTCAGTATTACTGGCAAGTTCCTTAAGTCAACTAGCAAAATTCTGGTGGATGTTATGTCCCCAGTTCCCAAACAAGCAGCACAAATCCAGGAGTCACTCGCTTCATTTCCACAGTGAAACTGGGACAGGAAAGAGGCAGGCAATAACAACCCCAGCAGGAAACCCTGGCCCCGGTTCATGCAAGAGGGAATCCAACGTGCAGCTGGCAGCCAGCACATTCCAGAGGGGCTCCTGCTCAAAGCCTGGAACTCGGGCTCTGGAGGCTGTGTGTGCTGCCACCGGGACCCTTGGCATCTTTCCTATTCTCTTGTTCTAAAGACAGTGTTTGCCTCCTCCAACCATTTCCCTCATGTTCCAGCACAAGTTATGTGCAGAAACCAGTATTTGCTCTGTTTAATGCACTTCTAGGAAAAGCAGCAGTGAGACCCAATTTACACAGCCTCCCAGGCTCCTGATGGAGTGGGTGACCAACATGTGTTCCTGTTTTGCAAAGGAAAACGCTCATTTCCCCACAATCGGAGGCTGGCATTTAAAATGAACCAAATTCTGCAAAATTCTCCATCTCCTGGGCTCCAAAAATATCCACATGTGAACAGATTTGTCTTTATACAAAGTGAATAAGCAGCATAGTTTTGCCCAGTAGCACCATGCTTTAGCCTTACGAGAAAGTGCTACAGTACTTTACTGATGGTAAAAATGATCAAACACAACCAAAACAAGCTCTCCCAGCAAGTGCTCTCTAATCAGCTCCCTCTTCCTGCATTAGAGCAGCACTCTAATTTGCAAGCTTTAGAATAACTTCTGCATTCACCAGACATGTTAAAAGACAATTTCATCCGAGTGGTTTTTACACAGGGGAGCAAACAATGAGGAGATAATATACTGGCATTTATCTCTGACCAGCATTTCCAGAGCTTGAACTTGCTGTATAGGAACAGAAGATAATCAAACAGAGGCAGAGTGAACAAACTGTACCTGCCGTGCTGATGTAAATGCCCCGTTGTCCAACACCAGAAAAAAAAAAAAAATCAGTGTTGGATTTCAGAAACCATATGCAGGTTAAAGGGCACCATTCTTATCTAGTATTCCACCCAAAGGACAATGATTTCATTTTATAAAGATCATTAGTCAGTGAAATATATATTTTAGAGAGTTTCTACCAGGGAATATTATTTTGGCAGTCACTGGAGTGTACCAGATGGTTCATTAACATAGGCTAGACAAGTCAAAGGCTTTCAGAATCATTTTGAAAATGTCAAACAGAAACAAGAGCACTGTCACTTTTTATTAGAATTAACTACATCATACCCTGGACATAGATTTCACCTTGGGTCAGAAAAATTAATACAGAATTATATGAATTGTGTAACATAGTAGGTTAAAGATAGGGCTTCCTCTTGGGACTCATTTGCTAGCAATATATTATGGTCTTCTACTTTAGGAATCCTCAACCTTTCTTTCTGTTAGCTATGAAAAGAGCTGACCTTGCTCAGACTCCATTGGTGTCTAATTGATTTGAGGTATATGCAGAATTTCAACAAGACACTCCACTAAAGCTCTTTTGTGATCATTTTCCCAGGAAAGTTGGCAAAAGGGTTCACTGAATATTCAGCAGCTTGTAAAGTATGCTTTTGTCAGGAGGCAAAAAAAAATACATCCATTTAGTGAAACACTGACTTCATAAACAGGAATTAAAATGCAACTGAATTGTTATCTGTTTGGTTTTTTGTTTTTTTGGGGTTTTTTTTGTATTATCATGCAGATGTCAAAAATCTCGAGAACTTCCAGCTTGTGGAAGGTGTTCAGGAACAAGTGAATGCTGCTCTGCTGGACTACACCATGTGTAATTACCCACAGCAAACAGACAAATTTGGGCAGCTTCTCCTGCGACTACCAGAAATCCGGGCCATCAGTATGCAGGCCGAAGAATACCTCTACTACAAACACCTGAACGGGGATGTGCCGTGTAATAACCTTCTCATTGAGATGCTGCATGCAAAGAGAGCATAAATTATACCCATTAGAGCTTCTGCTTTCAAGGAAAAGAAATTATTCTGAACTGCTCCAAGCAACACTAATTAAAACATGGTTTTAAGACTTTGCAAAATGGTATAATAATCAAATACTAATAGTAAATAAGTGATGTATCAGGGTATTTGTATTGCAAACTGTGAATCATATGCTACACATCCCCAAAGGAATCTATATAGGACTTTATACTGGATTGAACTTACCAAGTGGATACCATCACCAATGTCAAGAAAAAAAAGGACAGAATGATCGTTGTATATTTAACTCTGCTGATTGCCAACATGAAGAAACCTAGGTAAAAAAAAACCTGATCTGTATTATTGAGCTAAGATGGTGGGGAATTTGAGTGCACTAAATTCCTTCACTGCATAGAAGGACTTGTAAAACAGTTACAACAGATGCAAACCTGCATCTACAGCATCTTCTGTCATCCTTACAGGGACCCAACACTTACTTCTTCTGTGCTAAATGATGTGGCATCCATTGAACAAGCTGTAAGAGAGAGCTGGCCTAGGCCACGTGCTGTGTGCTGTGGCCACCAAACCCTCCAAGCTGGGCCTGCCTGTGGGGCCTGCAAACCACTCCTAGGAAGTCTGGGATCCAGTTAGCTTGGCACTCTTAACTGTGTTCTGAAGTTTGTTTTGTCACGTGTTCATGTTGTTCTACCAGGCAGTATCCCTCTTCTACTGCTCTTAACAGATAGCTGTTAAGCAGCTAAGGAAATAGTCCAATTAAATTAACCAATTCAACTGCATATTCAACCAGCTGCTAAAAGATGGCTCCACTATATATTCATGGCTGTTTCCAAATAAAGGAAATAGAGATATTTCGGCCATCCCAAACAACACTTTCTTTGACAAGAAAACAGAAATTAGAACACCTAATACTGGTGTTAAATAACAAAAAATAAATTTTTAAAAGAATTTGTGATAAAAGAAGTGACAAGTGAATTGTACAACTGGATGATGCCACAGAGCTTATTAAGAAATGATCTTTAAAATTGTCATTAATTTGGAAACTAAATTTCAACTCAAACATCCAATATCTAATGAAACTTCCTGTTTTCAAAGTTAGGTAATATACCTATTTTACGCAAAGAAAGAAGAGTGATACTGCTGTGTCTATGTAGGCCAAAGTCTGCTGCAGAACAAATATTAGAAAAGAACAAACACTTCTCTCTCTGTCCAAATGAAGATATCAGTATTAACATGTAGTGCCACATTTATAAGTCTTGCCTTATTTCACTACCCTTAAAGGTAACCGCGCAGGTGTAGATCAACATACATTTCAAACTAAAGTATTAATCTCTAGCATTAACAAAAACATAGTGTTTACATTCTTTAGGTCCTGTGGGGAAAAACTGTGATAAAATTGCAGAGCAGTGATTTCCTTATTATTTCTTTTAAATTGGTAATTATTTTACCAGAACTTAATTACTGTATGTCGTGAGACACTAAAATCAATAGGGGTATTTCATTTTTACTTTAATTTTTGAGATTATCGGCTGCACAATCACTTTTAGAAACTGTATAAAATCCTAATACTTTAATTTTTTTTTCATGAAGATTGCTGGCTTTTGAATAGTTTATTTATATTGTATATGATAGTTTTCACTGTAGACAATTATGATGCTAATTTATTGTTCTTTGGTTTCATCTTTATATAAGATATAGCCAGAATGAAGAAGCCAAATATATGTGTTTACTGTAGCATGTCTTCAAGTTAGTGGAACATAGTTCAGGGACACAGAAGGGTCTTTACAAATTAAAATCATTCACTTGATTAAATGTCTGTAAATCTTCATAATCCTAAATGTAGTTTATTTAAATCTATTGTAAATTATGTGAGTTGTAACTTTTTCTGTTTCATGTGAACTTGAAAAGGTGCATTTCTCTCACTTTTGTCCAACCATTCGTACTTTGTATACCAAAGACATCAGTTATTACATCTGCATTAGTACGAAGCACACGATTTTAATTGCCTGTATTAATCAGCTCTAATATTCTGTCCATGCATAGGGTACCAACACAGCAAAGCCAAGTGTCTGCAACCCCTACATGCCTGTTACTGTCCTACAGACCTCGAGCAAATCGAGCACAGCCCCTCAGCATCCCCCAGGGCAGATGGAAGCATTATTTAAATACCAGTGCTCTCCCTCAAACAAACGAAATTAACACTAAAGTGCAGGTGCCGGTTGACGGTGGCTGTGAAATACACGAACAAGATAAGTGTGGTCATTCTTTCCTTTCAGAAAGAAAAGCAAAGCATTAATTCAAGTGTTTGCATTCTGTATTTTCTCTTTTTTTTTCCCTGTTGAAATGCTACAGTGAACTTCACTGAATATTAAGGAAAAAGCTTAAAAAATATTGCTAAATATTCATAGCACCATTATCCATATACAGGACAGAAGTATTAAAATAAGAATGTAGAAGAAAGGAACAATTAAGGTTCATGAAAATGGTTTCAGATATTCAAACATATATTTGCCCACATCCGGGGTTCCAAGAATCCCATCATATTGCCCGAAGTACACGAACAAAACAAAACAAAACAAACCACAAAAAGAACCCGCTCATGTTAATTGTTAACTACTTTGCAACCAAGCATTTTCTTCTGACAGCCTTATTGATTACAGGATATATTAGTAAAAGCAGACTAAAATTCAAAAAGTTTAGCTTTGGCTGGTTTATTATAGTTGTTCTGTGTTTGTAAACAGACAATCTGTAAAGTCTGATTATTTGTATTACAGATGTTCTGCAGCTGCCTTGGATTTAAATCCATGCAACTCTTAGAATGTGCAGTGAGTTACTTGTTGAAGTTGAAGTTCTCTTACTGTATCAGTGAAATACATATTGTCATGTCAGTTCTTGCCAAGAGTTTCTCATCACCAATGGAATTATTTTTTTCAGTATTTCAATAAATATTGATATGCCCGTGCTGATTACTTTATAATTGTCTTTATAATACCATCATTCCGCTGAAATGAAGCATCAGTCAAAAATCAGTTACTCAGAAGAGGAGAGTAAAATGCAGGAGAAATATGAGCACCAAAGAGAATTTGATATAACTGGAAGACTCAAGTGTAGAGAAGAGCACCTTGAAAAGCTCAGACAGCAATGGTGACATTGCCTAGGCTGAAGCCAAGTAGATGCAGCTAAAATAGTTTAGAAAAGCTGAATCTCTAACCAGAAAGAAATTTACTGCTTAATACTTTCAAATACCTTTGATCTCATACTGCACGTAATTTTTGCTTTGCATGTACCCATAACGAGTTAAGCAGCCAAAGCATCAGGGAGGGAAAATGACAGAACAAAAGAAAATCAGGTAACAGGATCCAGCAGAGCTCAGGATAACCTCTCAGCAATGTAAATACATGGCAGGGCCAGGGGCAAACCCACAGCTTCCAACACAACTGCCAGTGCAGGCTGCCAAGGAGACAGATGTTACTGCTACCACAGGAAAATATTTTCCTAAAGTTGCCCTCTGGCTCATTTGAGCACTGTTCTGAGAGCAGGAGGTGAAGTGGTCCAAGAGAGCTCGTCAGCTGTACCCTACTGTTTTGAGACTGAGTCCAGTGCTTCCCCTGAACTGTCTGGTACTTGAAACAGGGCTGTTCTCTCAGGTGCCAAATGTTAATGCTTCAAGGGAAAAAACAGGGCTATAATTAGTTATTTACAAATCCTGCACTTGAATGAAACAAAGCTGGTTTAGTGTTGTAATAAAAGCAGAGTAAAACACAGAGGATTTGGTGGCTTATAAATGAGGAAGGATTATTTTAACTTTTAGGAATCATAACAGAAACCCATGGTTTTGCAGAGACCCAGAGGAGATTTCAGGGTTGATATATTTTAGATAGTTTTCCTTACAAGAGATATATTTTGGTGCGATATATTTAGTATACACACTACATGTTTAAAGTATGAGGGGATTTATTTTTAACTGAGTATGACACTGCTTCTGGAACAATCTGCTGTATGTTTTTATTGGAAACATGGAAAGAGTGAGTTCAATGTAACACAGGTCAAGTCAGTACAATACTTGGTGATCTTGACAATTTCCTGGAATGCTGAATAACACTCTATTAACCCCTACATCGAAACCCATAGTCTAAATACATCACAGGAGTTCTAACAATATTTTTACCTTCTGACAGAGTTGCTGTTTTTTTGCAGAGAAATTCCATATAGCTGCATCTGTCAGAATTTGGAATGGCAAACAACATGAAAGTAACTAGCAAACCAAGAAAGTTGCAGATAAACTTCTAGGGGCAGATCCTAGAGCTGTATTACACTATGATATTGGCATGAGCCCAAATACTTCTGTGACAGTCAAGCAAATTCAGTTCCACTTGAGTAGAAAGAAGATTCATTTTCTAAGGGCAACTTGTCAACAAAAAAACTTACCCTTAATGAGAAAGGTAAAAGGGGACCCGACCCTCAGATGGAGTACACAGCTGATGCCTACTCTGATGCCAGTGGATCTCAGCAAAAGGCAGCAGCACTAGAAGATACTTGACAGATACAGTCTGGGCTGGCACACACTGGTGGGACAAGATGTAGATTCTCTGCATCAAACACTCTTTGCAAACCTTTGGGTTTGCTCCAATACATAACAAAATACTCTCTATTTTCCTGACAGTTCTGAAGTCTGGCATGCAAGCTTGGATTTGCAATACTAGGTGAGTTTTCACCATTGCCCCAGGAAGGTCCTGACCCATTTCCCTTTCACTGTAATTTCTCTAAGTCCTACCATTAACTGCTGTGAAGCTGTGAACATCTTGTGCATGCCCCAGGGGATAATTCAGACTTGAGGTAAAGCAAGGTGGTGGAGCACAAGCTCCTGATGGTGTCTGCTTTCATGGAGGCCTAGACCACTGCTGCCCTGCCTCACCAAGGACTGCAGGGTTTACCATTATTTGCTAATAAAACAGAGGCCAAAACAAACAGCACTGGAGTCAAAATTATGTCCACTGACATCTT